TAATTAAAATAAGAAAATTTATAAAGAACTAATATTGATATTAAAAAAAATCTAAATAATTTATTAATGAATTTGTTCCAAAAAATATCCAAATTTATGAATAATCTTCTAATTTTATGTGGATTAATTCAAGTAGTTTCTATTATTTATTAGTTTAAAGTGAACATTAAATTCTGCTAATTTAATGAGTAAAGAAAGGTTTATTAAGATTTAGCATTTGTTTTGATAAGTAGAAACTGTATGATCTGGTAACAATAGCAACGATTTCTTCTTAGCTACTTGATCTTTACTTGATAATCACTTGATAATTGCATGATTTGCTAAAATTGATTGAAATAATTGATGTAGTTTGTACAGTAATTTCTAGCTATTAATAGATATTGATAAATGGGATTAGTAAGAGGAGATAATCTATAGTTTAAATCGTGAGACGGTTTCTGTTTCTCTTCTTTCGTTCTGTCGCGAAAGAGCGTGAAGTGTAGTTAGTGTATGCATGTAGTACGTTCTCCGTCTATTATTGTACATTGTCCATTGTGTGTGTGTGAGAGCGACTTGGTGCGTGGTCTTGGAAAATATGAGCGGATGTTGTTGAATTTACAAGGCCATTTTATTATGTACAGGAGCCGAGAGTCGGGCAACGCCCTATAATAGCCCTGAATGTAAAATTAACCAACGAAACGCGCATGGGATCGGAACGGGAACGAGCTGCAGTGGTCCGGAGGCGGCGACGGCTCCATCTGTCGGATGGTAGCGATCTGTAAAACAACAGCAAAAACAACAACAACAAAAAAACGCCGCCGCCCACGCGTCGCGACGCCCACACATATGTATCGATCCATTAAGACACGCTCGCAAAACAAAACAATTAAAGAAAAAAACCGGTTCACACATTGTTGTTAAACCCATAAAGAACAACCGGTTACAACAAGAACAACATCAATTGATTAGCTCTAATCTGATCAATATATTATTACAATTATTTATAACTAATTCATCAATTAACAGTATTTATTACATATTAACAACAATTAAAAGAAAATATTAATTATCACCAAACCCATGGATTTAAATACGACATTATTACATAACAATATCTAAATGTATTATCTAACTAGCAATTAGTGTATGTCCAAGAGGCTTTTGTTAATGAATTTACTTTGATGCAATGTTTCTATTCTTTCGTTCGAACAAAAGTTCTTTTGCATTGGGCATTCGGTGTCGTGATGTAAGGCTATTAACGCCAGTACCGTGGAAAGGGCGGGGCGAGCTTAGAGCCCTACGCTTATCCGAGGGGTGCGATTTCCGTCTTGAGGGAAAAAGAAGAGCACCGAAGAGCATCAGACGCCATCTATCGGTTTGATAGCAGAAACGCACTTCCGGTTACAATCGATGCCAGCAGACGCATCGAATCGTTATTGAAATGCATTCCATATGTTTGTCTATTTCATTCATATTTACAAAGAATATGAAAACATAAGTAAGTGTAATTTGTAATTAAAACAGTTTTGTAGAAGATTATAAAACAATTATATAAAATCATGATCTTGTTTTCATTAGTCCACAAAAATTTCTGGTTACAATTTATGATTTTCCATCAATTTACTTTATTCACATTTCCAAAATTTGTCTTTATATAGAAGATACTAAATATTGTGCACTAATTATTTAAGTTTAAAATTTTCATGAAAAACATAGTCTTTCTTATTTTGTTTTACGGAAATACAAGAAGTTATCCAACTTTCAACAGATTTCCAAAAGCATACAAAAATTAAGTTATTTTTTCATAAACTATTTCAACAAGAATACAAATTTATTGTTACAATTCATAAAACCATTAATTTACTTTTAATCATTTATATTTTCACATAATATCTAATGTGAAGCATTTTTTTTTTCATAGACATTTCATAAATTGTATTAGAAATTTTATTCAATCTATTTTCTAGTATATTTATCGCATTTTCATGAAATAATCAATAAAAATATGATAAAAACGATTGGAATAAACAAAACAAAAATACACATGAAACTTTTAATATTATTATATTTAGAATAAATCAAGAATTTATGTATAGTTTTGAAATTAATTTAATTTACTTACAATGTAATAGTAATACGTTTTGTAGCATTAATAATAGACAAAAATATTTAAAAAATCTAAGCTAAATTTATTTGGTATAAAGTGAGTGTTAAGAAATTAATTGGATTTACTTAAAACAATTCAAATGTACTAAAAAAGCAGCATTAAATTGTTTTGAAATAGCCTTAGATCTAGAGAATTAATTAATTATTATAACTTTTGTAACAGTTTTCACTTTTGTAGTAAAACTAATAAATGGTAAAATAAAATTTGAGAATTAAAATTTAGAATCATAGATAATAGCATTATCTATGGATTGAAATAAATGAATGTAAATTATGTTTATTTAAATGCAAATCTATATTATTTGTGTTCATTTACTTATTAGTAAACTACAGCTCAATCTGGAAGTTAACTAATTTGATTTAGATGCGTCTTAACAAAGTTATTTCCTTTTCTTTCAGGAAATTCCTGAAGTTCTGTTTAATTTAAATTTCTTGATACTACTGTTGCCTATGGTATTTAAGTTATCTATGCAACCAAAGAGTCAACACAAAACAAGAAGTAACGCGCGCAAACTTAACCTAACTTCTCAGCGTTGCAGAACGTTGTGTGTTTATATTCGTGTTGAAGCATTTTGTAGAGATTTCCTAACTGAAGTAACCCAAATATTAAACATCAGCACAATGGACGCCGATCTATACGACGAGTTTGGTAATTACATTGGTCCTGAGCTGGACAGCGATGAAGATGATGATGAGGAACATGAAACCTTCCAGGACGAAGAAGAACATCAAGATTATGATGTAAGTTTAATTAAAAATTACTTTTCATTGATTGTTTAATTGTAAATTATTGATATTAGGATGATCGCATGGAAGATGCTGAGCCTCAACCCATGGCAATTGTTTTGCACGAGGATAAAAACTATTACCCGTCATCCCTGCAAGTGTATGGTCCTGACGTGGAAACTATAGTTCAAGAGGAAGATGCTCAACCTTTAGACGTTCCTTTGATTGAACCAGTCAAGAAAAAGAAGTTTCAATTGAAAGAGCAGGATTTGCCAGACACCACCTACAGCATGGAGTGAGTTAATATTAAATTACATAAATTTTGATTGCTGATTGTATTTGAATTTATAGGTTTTTAGCCGATATGATGGATAACACTTCATTGATTCGAAACGTGGCTTTGGTAGGTCATCTGCATCACGGAAAAACTACTTTTGTAGATGGTTTAGTGAGGCAAACTCATCCGAGTCATCAAGATTATGAAGAGAAGAACTTGAGATACACAGACACTTTGTTCACTGAACAAGAGCGCGGATGCTCCATCAAATCCATCCCGGTGACGTTACTTCTACCCGACATTAAAAACAAGAATTATTTAATGAACGTCTTCGATACTCCAGGTAAAAAAAATCGAATTTATTTAATTGATTATATAATCATTTTTTTTAATATTACAGGTCATGTGAACTTTTCTGATGAAGTAACTGCAGCAATGCGTCTCTGCGATGGAGTTGTGCTGTTTGTTGATGCAGCTGAAGGAGTCATGTTGAACACTGAGAGACTCTTGAAACACGCGGTGCAAGAGCGCATGCAGATTACCATTTGCATCAACAAAATTGATAGACTCATACTCGAATTGAAGCTTCCACCGCAAGACGCTTATTACAAATTGAGGCACATCGTCGAAGAAATCAACGGATTGTTAACGTAAGCTAACGATTACATTTTTGATGAATTAATTTAATTAATCTCTGTTTATTTAGTTTATACTCGGACGATGTAAATCCGCACATCGTGTCTCCGGTTTTGGGTAACGTGTGCTTCGCCAGTTCTCAATACGGAGTTTGCTTCACTTTGAAATCGTTTGCTAGCATTTACTACCAATATTACGGTGATGTCAACGTCGAGGAGTTTTCCAAGCGGCTTTGGGGTGATATTTATTTCAACTCGAAAAAGTATGTTTTTACCTAAATTTTATTTAATTTGTTTATTAATTGAATTTTCATTTGTAGTCGTAAATTTACAAAGAAGGCTCCTCATAATTCGGCGCAAAGAAGCTTCGTCGAATTCATATTGGAACCTCTTTACAAAATCTTCGCTCAAGTTGTCGGCGATGTTGATACGACTTTACCAGCGGTATTGGATGAGTTAGGCATTAAACTGAATAAGCAAGAGTTGAAATTGAATATTAGACCGTTGCTGAGATTGGTTTGCAACCGGTTTTTGGGCGATTTCAGCGGTTTTGTGAACATGTGCGTGGAACACATCAATTCGCCTTTGGATAACGCGAAAACCAAAATCGATCACATCTACACAGGTCCAAATACGAGTAAACTGTACGACGATATGTCCAATTGCAATCAAGACGGTTTGCTAATGGTGCACAGCTCGAAAATGTACCCTACCGAAGATTGCACCTTCTTCCAGGTTCTAGGTAGAGTGATGAGCGGAACTCTGCACGCTGGAACAGATGTTAGGGTTTTGGGAGAGAATTACACCTTGCAGGACGAGGAGGATTCCAGGGTTTTAACTGTAGGTCGACTGTGGATTTACGAGGCGCGCTACAAAGTTGAACTGAACAGAGTTCCGGCTGGTAACTGGGTTCTCATAGAAGGCATCGATCAATCGATAGTGAAAACAGCGACGATCACTGATTTAGTTATACACGACGATTTGTACATTTTCAGACCGCTGAAATTCAACACGCAAAGCATCATTAAGATAGCCGTAGAACCCGTCAATCCTTCAGAACTTCCGAAGATGTTGGACGGGTTAAGAAAAGTGAACAAATCTTATCCACTATTAACAACGAGAGTTGAAGAATCTGGAGAGCACGTGGTTTTGGGAACTGGGGAATTGTACTTGGATTGCGTCATGCACGATCTTAGGAAGATGTATTCGGAGATCGATATCAAAGTTGCGGATCCGGTCGTCGCCTTCTGCGAAACCGTCGTGGAAACTTCGAGTTTAAAATGTTTCGCCGAGACTCCGAATAAAAAGAACAAAATCACGATGATTGCCGAGCCTTTGGAGAAGGGTTTGGCTGAAGATATAGAGAACGAGAACGTGCAGATCAATTGGAATAAAAAGAAGTTGGGTGAGTTCTTCCAATCGAAATATGATTGGGATTTGCTTGCGGCGCGTAGCATTTGGACCTTCGGCCCTGACACCACGGGTCCTAACATTTTGGTCGACGATACTCTACCGTCGGAGGTGGACAAAGGTTTGCTGAACAGCGTCAAAGATTCGATAGTGCAAGGTTTCCAATGGGGAACGAGGGAAGGACCGCTGTGCGAGGAGCCGATTAGGAATACGAAATTTAAAATTTTGGATGCTGTGATTGCTAACGAACCTCTGCACAGAGGCGGAGGACAGATTATACCGACGGCTAGAAGGGTTGTCTACTCTGCATTCTTGATGGCAACGCCGAGGCTTATGGAACCGTACCTCTTCGTCGAGGTTCAAGCACCTGCAGATTGCGTGTCCTCGGTTTACACGGTTTTGGCTAAACGGAGAGGACACGTCACTCAGGACGCTCCAGTTCCCGGTTCACCCCTGTACACGATCAAAGCGTTCATTCCAGCTATAGACAGCTTCGGTTTCGAGACCGATTTGAGGACGCACACGCAAGGACAAGCCTTCTGCCTTTCAGTTTTCCACCATTGGCAGGTTAGTCATTAGTTTATGGTACATTAACCTTAAGCATTTAATGTTAATGCAACAATTTTTTTTTTTAGATTGTTCCCGGAGATCCGCTCGATAAGAGCATAGTTATCAGACCGCTGGAACCACAACCTGCCACACATTTAGCGAGGGAATTCATGATAAAAACGCGCAGAAGGAAAGGCCTGAGTCAGGACGTTTCCATTAACAAGTTCTTCGACGATCCTATGTTGTTAGAATTGGCCAGGCAGGATGTTGTGTTGAACTATCCTCTACTTTAATTACATAATTATATTTTAATATACGCTTCATTCATAAATTTATTGTTCACGTATTTTGATAGTTTCATAATCTCTGTACGGTTGCAAATATGTTATTAATGAGGCTGCGTTAAAGCAACCCAATTTTTACAAAATAAATAATAATTAAGTATACTAAAATTGGACATTTCTTTCACACTTATTCTAATAATAATAACGACAATATTTAAAAAAAAATAAAGATAAAATTGTCGCTGCTAATGCGAACTTCCTACGTTCCTTATCAATGCGAGACTTCCTGTAATTAATTCCTGCAATGGTTTGAAATTGATAAGTGTTGGATTACGGCGCGACTATCGATGTATTTCAACCGGAAGCAGATAATCCGTCCTCGTTAGCCGATTCAAGTTCGACACTTATGCAACACAAATCGCAGCTCGGATATTGAATCCTTAATACGTAGATGCGAATCGATCTCTGATTGGTTACAAAAGTTAAACATTGAAATGGGTGACCAATTTACTAAAGAAACTAGCAATTCACTGACGATTTACAAACAAAAGTCCAACTGACCTTTTGTAGGTTTACCGAAGAATCAACGTCAACATCTCAAAATTTCATATATTGAAAATATTTGAAAATATCCTAAATAAAAATCAATGCGCATCGAATTTAATTCTTCACTCACCATTTCTTAAAACTGTATTCTTCATTAATCACAAAATTAAAATTCAATATTGATTTTATTATTTAAATACAAGAAAATGTTTCTCATTGTAAAACTTTTGTAAATTTGATAAGTTTTCATTTTTTTTTTCAGTATTTCATTGAAACGAACATCATTATCCTCAAAATACTTACTCACCATTTCTCAAAACTGTATTCTTCATTAACCACGAAATTAAAATTCTCAAATTAAAACCAAATCTTTCAATATTGATATTTTTTAAAAATTTAAATACAAGAAAATGTTTTATGTTTAAATTCTTTACTGAATTATTAACAGGTGTTTCTCATTGTAAAACTTTTATAAATTTGACTCAAAGTTTTTTTCAGTTTTTCATTAAAATGAACATCATTATCCTCAAAATACATACAAATAATCACATTTAGTATATTTTATCAAGAACTTGCAAATCTATTGCAATTAGAACAATCTTTTACTAAGAATGTTGATTCTGAGATGTAAAATTATACATTTTTTTACCTGATTTGACACAAACTTTACTAAGAAGTTAAATTCAGTATTGCGACTACAATTAAATACTTACCTTCAATATGAAATCACAAGTTCAGCAATTTCATACATAAACTTTCATACTTACTTTCATTACAAAAAAAAAATGTATTTTAACAGTACAAAATACAAGTTTTAAAGGTAAAACTTCCTTTTGAAAACAATGAGGATTGCGAAATAAAAGAAAATGTATGTATATTTTTGTTGTTTTTCGTTTAATACAGAGAAATGTTTAATTTAGAAATTTTTAAAAGATGATATGATAATATAAATATATACAGAATAATGATCAAAAGATCTACGGTCTTCTAGTTTATATAAATTATTAAGAAATAAAAAAAAATATTCAGTATTTCATTGAAATGAACGTCATTATCCTCAAAATACATACAAATAATTAAAACTTAAATTAAAAATCTAGTATATTTTATCAAAAACTTGCAAATCTATTGCATTTACATCAATCTTTTATTAATAATGTTGAGTCTGAGATGTAAAATTATACATTTTTTACCTGATTTGAAACTAATTTCAATTAAGAAGTTACATTCAGTATTGCGACTATAATGAATGAGTAAAATATGAATGAACAAAATACTTACCTTTAATATGAAATCACAAGTTTAGCAATTTCATACATAAACTTTCATACTTACTTTCATTACAAAAAAAAGTATTTTAACAGTACAAAATACAAGTTTTAAAGGTAAAACTAGTCTTTTTGAAAACACTGAGGATTGCGAAATAAAAGAAAATGTATGTATATTTTTGTTGTTTTTCGTTTAATACAGAGAAATGTTTAATTTAGAAATTTTTAAAAGATGATATGATAATATAAATATATACAGAATAATGATCAAAAGATCTACGATCTTCTAGTTTATATAAATTATTAAGAAATAAAAAAAAAAAAAAATAATGGAAAAACTAAAACGTTTTACAATAATAATAATAAACGTAATCATAATAATAATAATAGTAATATTCATAATAATAATAAAAAAAAGAAACATAAAATCGCGTTCACGTTTCGTCCTTTATTTCAACCAAAAAGTTTATCCTATTTCTTTTTTTCTTCTTCTTCTTCTTCCAGTCGTCCTGCGAACATTAAAAACAAGGACACACATGGAAAAAGAACAAAAGAAAATTGTGCGATTGGACGAAACGCATTTTGTTTTGGTTTTTGTTTTCACAACGTAATAGTTAATAATAGTAAAAAAAATCATAATAAAAGGATACTAAAATATTCAATTACTACACAGGCGTCTCTTTAAATTAATATGTATAATATATATATTTATATAAACTTTTAAATAATTAAATATCTTCAATAATTACAAAAAAAAAAAAAATAATCTGGGGGGGGGGAAGAAGTTCGATTCAAGTACAAAAAAGAAAGAAATAATAAGAAATTAAAAACAAATCAGTGTCTTCTATGCAATATAATCATAATAATAATAATAATAACTATTTATACTCATTTTTTCATCGTATTTTTTTGTTCTTTCTTTATTATTTTTTTCTTCATCTACATGCATTATTTAAAAATGTGCAAGTTTTTCCTTATTTCTTGATTTTTTTTTTACATTATTTAGCTAAACGCCTCCGGACGCAGCGGAGGTCTCTTCATTCATTATCATTATTATATATATCTTCACTTTCTCTCTCTCTCTCTCACATTCTCTTCGTTTCTCCATCATCTTTGTTACGTATAATTCTTAACTTGTGTTTCGTGATCGATCATCATCATCATCATCATTTTTTACAATGTTCCTTTCACTTTGAGTGAGAGACTTAAAGTTTAATTTTGGAAGAGTCACATGAATATTGCCAAAAAATATAATATTATATTATATATTTATACTTTTCTTCTCTTTCATTTTCATACTTTTACTTCTTCTAATAATAATATTGTTTTTTTTTTCCTTTTCCTTCATTATATTTGTATATATACTAAAAATATTGCACTAAAAAAGTTCTTGTTGTTGTTGTTGTTGTTGTTGCTGTTGTTATTATTTCTCAATCCACTGCAGACGATTATTATTTACTTTTTTCAAAAGAAAAAAAAATCCCTCTTCTTCGTGTTGCGTTAACAGAATCGAACGAACGAAATATATATATGTAAAACAAAAGCGTATATAAACGAAACGAAACAATTGTTTTCTCTTTGTTTTGACGTGAAACGATTTGATTCTCTGGGTGGACTCATTTTGTAAAATATTCTCTTCTCACATTTGGTTACAAGTTTAAACTCCGTTTCTGTATTATTCCTCATTTTTTTTTTTTATTTATTTTATTACCTACGATATGCTTGGTATTTCCTCATCATCATTATTATTATTTTCTTTATCTTTAAATATATAATATATTTATAATATTTATAATATATAGAACTATTATTTTTTTCTTCTTTCATCTTCATCATTGATTCAACGAAATAATGCTTAATTTAATTAAAAAATACACAAAAAAAAATCAAAGTATTTTTTTGTTTGTTTGTTTGTTTGTCTTTGAGATCTCTTCTCGATAGTTTCATATTTACAAAGATTTACTGGCCTATTGTTGATTCACATCATCTTCTTAATACAAAAAACAAAAAAATTAATAATAATTGCCCAATTTCTTCACTTTTTTTGTTACACAAGAAATTATTTAAATAAAAGAGACTAGAAGATTAACTAACAAAAAAAAATTGTAATATTTATATATATATTTAAAAAAAAAAACGTGTAATAATCAATCTTTCACCGGTTCTTTACAAAATTAAAAAAAAAAAAACACATATTTTCATCTTTCTTTCGGGAGAATTTTTTAGAACTAAGTTAAGCCTAAAAAGTGGTGTGCTAGATTATATATACAAATGTACCCTAACAAAAGAAACAGTTGAAATTTCCATCCTCTCTTTTTAAGATTTTGTTTTGTTTCGTTTTCTCAGCGGGGGTTGGAGGGTTGTTTTTGCTCGAAGAAAACGAAAACTTTTGAATTTACAAAATAAAAAAATTATTTAGAATATATATATATATATAAAAAGAAAACAAGGAAAATCACTTAAGAACTAAAAACGCTTTTGGCCTTTGTCCTCTCGTCCATCATCAACTTTAAAATTTATATTAAAGCACGGTAAATAAGCAATATCACAATGTTTCAAACATTTGCTCTGCAGTAGCCACATTTTTTTTTTATAATATTATTATGTTTTTCTTTTCTCTCCAGAAAAAAAGAAACACAAAAGAAAAAGTTGTTTTTGATAGATTATTATTATTTTCATAATTAATATTTTTTTTAATTAATTTCTTTTTCTTCTTTAATTATTATTAATTGTTTTTTTTTTGATTAAAATCATCTCTCTTCGTAATATTTTTTTGGCTAATATATCATTTAAAATACGGTAACAGTCTTATTTAATAATAACTACATAAATATAGAAAATCAAACAGAAACAAGAGATTATAATAGCCTTCTCGCAGCATTTTTTGTTTTCGTTAGTTTTCGTGTTTTGGTTTGTTTGTTTGTTTGCAGTTTGTCTCGTTTAGGCCGAAAATCAGGATAAAAACTAAAAACGCTTAAACTATCTTATAACAGAATAAAATATTAAAAAACTAAAAGTGGTATAGTACCTAATCACATGGTATTTCACAAATACAAAGAGGGGGGTTTTTCTGCGTCGGGGTTGTTGGGTGTTCGACTTTTGATTTTTTTTGGTAAAAAGTTCGTGAGACGCGTGGGGTTGGTGGGTTTGTTTTTGTTTGTAATTGGGGGGGGAGGTTGGGGATGTTTTTCTTTTAATCTTCGATGATTGCACTTCCTGCTGATTCGCGATCATGGCTTGCTTCACTGAAGAAGTCCGTGACGATCGTCCACACAAACAAAATTAATTTACATAAACGCACTTAGTTCGTTGGCTCTGCTAATAAAACTCTTTTTGTAGTTCAATAGTCCCATCGTTCCTCGTCGTTTTCCGGTTTCTCCGTTTTGACAATCTGCTCATCACTACAGTCCGCGTCCTGCTTGTCCTGCTCCGTCTGCTCGTGATGCTCCTGGCTCACCGAAGACGTGTCACTTTGGTCATCCTCGAACCTGTCCATAACTGGCGTCGGTTCCACTCGCACCGTCTCCTCGTTGCTCCTCCTGTAGTCCTCCGTTTGCATCACGCACACTCCGTTGATGATGACCTCGTCCCCGCTCGGTGGCTTCTCCTTCTCGTCCTGCCACTCCGGGTTCACCCATTGGGGCGCCGCGGGTTTCCTCCGCGACCTCCCCTGAACGGGCGTCTCCTTGTGCTCCACCTTCACTTCACCACCGTGCAAACTGCCGGACATGTTCGAATCCTCGGAACCCGCGTTGCTCTCGATCTCCTCGTCATCGTCGAAATCGCCCGGTTCCCTCTTCAGCGTACCCATCGACAGATCCAACCCGCTCATCTGCTCTTTGACGGCGTTGTTCAGCGCTGAAAGATCCATCTCTCCGCTGGGTAAAAGCCCTCGGCTGATGAGCGCTGCGAGGTTGGTGTTCGTCGCCAGGTACGGTGGATACGGCAGAGGAACGCCACCCAATCCCATCCGCTCTTTAGATAACTCTAGTAGTCTTTGGTTTAACAGCAGTCGGAACTGAACGGGATCGAAGGGCGCCTGGTTTCCGCTCTGGTCTCTGGGAGGGATGTCGGAGGAACCCATGCCGCTGTGCGGCACTTGCTGTTTCAGTCGCATCCTGTGGTTGTGGAACCAATTCGTGATGGTCCTTCCGGCCAAACCAAGCTCTTGAGCCAAGAACTCGATGGTCGCGACGTTCGGGTATGGATCCAACGTGAACGCCAGACGCAGCGCTTCCTTCTGCTCCTCGCTGAAGAGCACCCTCTGCTTCTTCGCGGATGGGGGTCCGGGACCGGGGGAGTTCGAGTGGTAGAATTCAGACGTATCGTTCGACGATGTGTCCGAACTGTTGTCGTGTGCTCCCGGACCCGAAGATCTCCTCCTCTTGTTGGCTTCGCGCCTCTCGTTCTTCAGCGCTTGTAACCTGTCGATGTTGTGTGCGTCGTTCAGCCACAGCTGCATCCTGATGAACGGCTCACGTCCCTTTATGCTAAGCATATGCCAAGGTTTCGGCTTTGACAGAAGCTCACTCACCGATCCCTGAGATAATCCCAGAACGGCTTCACCGAAAATCTGCAGAAGAAGAAAAAAAATATTAGATTTATAAAATTATAATTGTAAATACAAAAATTATAAATTAGATTTTTGTTGTGTGAGATGATTTATTGAAATTACCTTTTGTCCGATGTTATTGGCGAGCAGTGCTTCTTTGATTTTGGTCGTAATGATTTGTGTGTCTAGGTCTTGCGTGAGGGCGGCCATCTCGTAGACGCTCGGAGAGATGTGCTGGTGAAGACTCCGGAGGGAGGCTTGCTGCTGGGAGAGCGGCGAATGCGGGATGCCGTGCGGGCTGTGGTTTGAGGGTTTCTTCAGATGATCGGCGCTTTGGAGGTTGATGGCGTGGTGCGGTGGAACGCCTGGTGGCGTCAACAGCATCGGCGGTGGTGGCGGTTGAGGGGTGATCTGCTGGTGTGGTGGTCCCAATTGCAGGGACGGAGGTAAAAGGTTCTGCGACTCCTGCATCTTGTTGAAGAGACCGACGGCCTCTGTGACCATCTTCGGTGGCATCGGTTTGCTGATGGTGGAGCATCCTCCGCCATAACCGCCGGTGCGCATCAGCTTCTCCGGCGCTATTTTGTACTGACTGGCGACGAGCTTGTGCACGGCGTTGTCGTCCTCCAAGAACATCTTCATTCTGATGAAGGGCTCGCGTCCCTTTTGGGTGAGCATGTGCCAGGGTTTGGGACGCGCGAGCAGATCGCTGACCGACCCTTGCGACAGTCCAAGAACGGATTCCCCGAACAGACGTTGGCTGATCGAGTACTGGCTGAGTTGCTCTTTGACCTTTTTCACGATGTCCTCGGTGTTGAGATTGTTGTACATGTCGAATTGCTGCTGGGTGATTGGCGGCAGAACTGCTTTCAGCGGTCTTTGGTTTGTGTTGTGGTGAGGTTGCGTCGGCGGTTGAGAGATTAAGGAATTCGTGATCGAGGCCATACGCTGCAGCGGACTGGCCACCGCGGATGTCGGGAATTCTTCGGAGGTGGCTGGCGGCAGGATGGCGTTACCCAAGGGGCTGGAAGCCGTCGAGCTCGTCGTCTGCGGCGTCGTGCCTGGCTCGATCTTCGGCCTGACCAGACTGAACGCGCTTCCGGAATGTTTACCGTCTTCGCTGTCGCGATCTTTATCGTCCATCATCCCGTTCGACATCTTCATCTTATCCTTGGGAATGGACAGATCCTGAACTCCACCGTTCAAAGCCGGATTTTGCGCTAAAGCTTGCTGCTGAAGAGCGAGGAGTCCGAGATTGGGCAAAGGTCCTTGTCCTTGATTCAGCTTAACCAATTCGCGATGGTACGCGTCGAGGGCCATGCGGATTTCCTCCTGAGTGCGATCCATCGGGTTTCCACTGAGCATTTGAGGAAAAAACATACTGAATATTAGATTAGCAAACCGCTCTTGCCCAAAAAAAGCTAATTGTACATCATCATATTACTTATAAAGTGGAAAAAAAGATAGTTACCCAGGGAAAGTTTCTCTCGGATTCCTTATATCGTCCATCCTTCGACCCATCAGTTTGGCGAGTTCCTCCTGATAGATCTTCATGACCTTCTCCTGAGAGATGTCGTCGTTTTCGTACTTCTTCAGGCGTCTGTTCTGCGAGGAATCTTTGGAGAACGGCGACTGGCATTGACCGTGCGGGGATTTCGAATCCTCGTTGCTGTGACTGTCCTCCATCTGGTTCTTCATCTGCAGATGGGAGGCCTCGTTGAGGATGTGCGCCAAGCGCTCTTCGGTGAGATCAGCCTCGGGCCGTCCGAACGTCGGGATTTCCTTGCCTGGAGGAACAAACAAATGATTCTTTGAGTGATGTCGTCGGTAGAATAAACGCGTGTATGGGAATAATAACGTAAAAAAAAAACACAGAGAGACGAAGACGACGACGAAGAAGAGAAGAGGGCCCATTAAAAAGAAATTATAACCGGCCGGTAACGGGTCTCTTCTTCCTCCTTCCACTTCTTCGCTTTTGCGACAATATTTTCCCAGGTTGACAATTTAATATCTGTAGTTCAGAGCCTTATTCTGGAAATATCTGTGTTTATATAATAATAAAAGCCGAACATGGCGCATTATAAATAGTAATTACTTCTTGTACGTCTCTTCGTCGGGAGAGACGTCATGGGAACTTGGCTGTGTAATTCCGCGTGTGCATTTCCAATTTGGTTTGGATAAAGGGGGGTACGTTCCAATGAGAGGTAGAAGAAGTATGCAAAGGTAGAGAGGATGGAGGAGTTTCAGGAATATAACAAAAAAATATAAAGATACGTATATGCTTCGGTCGGTTCAGATATGTGAACACACACACATATGTATATATATATAAGAGACAGAAGAGAAGAATAAAACGGTAGAGAGAGGGCTTCTCTTCTATATTTACATGCAGACTCTGAGGCGCGCACAATGTGTGCTAGACTAAAAAGATCTCTTTGTCTTCCCGTTACAATTTATTATTGAGAGAGATAGAAAGGTACGGTAGAGATGAAACACTCCTCTTCTTTCCAGAGAGAAAAAGATGTATGGTTATGCAAAGAGAGCGAAAGAGACGCAGAGAGTAAAAGAGAAAGAGAGAGAGAGAAACAACGGCGTTGGAGCGCACACACGCAGATATTTCAAAGATAATTTTAATTAGCCAACCATATTCGAAATAAAATATCGACTCTGGCGCGCGCGAACAAACGAAATACGAAAGCTAGAGAAGGACTGGCAAAAGCAGCAGCAGCAACAAAGAAACGAATATGTAGAGTTTTCCATGGACGAGAGAATGAGCGATATTACGCGAATAATAATAACAGAAGAAGAAAAAAAATATTATACAAAATAATAATAATGATGATGATGCAAACACACGTAGATAGACACAGCATAGACAGAATGAAAGAGAGACATGATGAACAACGAAAAAAAAAATAAAAATAAATAGAGTAGCAGTAGGAAACAAAAAAGTAACGGCAGCAGCAACAACAGGACGAGGTTCGCCCTAGCAGAGCATGCAAATTACAGATGTGTTACTTTTATTTACTCCCCCTCCCAGAACAATGCATTTCACGTGTGTATAAATAAAAAAGAATGCGATTGTAAAAACGCATCATAAAAATATCCATTGGATATGACGGACACTTCTATACAGGAAATTACACGATTCAATTGGCCACTCTGTCTCTGCATCCAGGGGAATCCCCCAAAAAAAAAATAATACCTCCGCACACACACCCCTAGCCACGCAGAGGACTCGCAACGTGTGTGTCTGATAAAACAAAATTTGAAAAAAAAAAAGAGACTTTAACGCACGCATAAATTCCCGGCAACAATTCGGATTTTCATTGCACGTCCAGTTAGTTCTCATTTCTTCCCCTGTTCGTTTTTTTTTTGTTTTTAATTTGTTAACATCCGTTGTTCGCGCAAATCGATTCACAGTTTTGTTCCACGAATTATTATTATCAAGAAAATTTGTTTTTTTAGATAAGTGAATTCACAATTTATTTATTTTGCAACTGCGTGCTTGCGTAAAATGTTGCTGCCTGTTGTTTTTTTTTTTCGTTTGCGCAAACTTGGAGGAATTGGAGGATTTCAAAATTGAATGGAATTGGGACGGTGCGAAATATTCGCACGCCTCTGAATCGTTATTATTATTAAGTTTACTTTATATATATATTTGTGTGTGTGTTAGTACAATTGAATAGGCGATTTCGCAAAAGTCGCGAAGTGAAAGAAGCTTGTATCTTGGAACATTGCTATGTGTTTGTATATCAGAGCGATCCATCTATATACTCGGCGGTGACGTGCTCTAAATAAGTTTCAGAAACCGATTAAGAACAATGCTCAATTAGAATTACTAACAAAAAAAAACTTTAAACCGGTAATCTGGAGGCAGAATCAGAAGTTGCTCTTTATTATTATTATTGTTGTTGTTGATGTTTTTCCTTTTATTTCTTGTTAGAAGAGAGAAGAAAATGTTGGTTTGTAATAGAGAGAGATGTTGATGATGATGATGATGATGGGAGGAAGAGGAGGTGGTGGTGGTTCGGAGGAGGCGAGCGCACAGTTACATATGTGTGTCTGTTCTATTTATTCTTTTATAATTGCGAATGTAATCTTTCGTGAATCCATTCATGACGGGAGCTTCCATTGTGCATTCAACACACCGTTTTAACACAAATTGCTCAATTTATTTAGAAACTTGGCTTGCTTTGGTAATTAGGTCTAAACGCGCGCTTGAAACTCGGATACGGCTTCGAACCTCCACCTCCTCCTTTCTCATCCTCTCATCCACCACCTCTCATTCCCTTTCATGCTGAAGAAACGATCATCATCGATTCTCGAGGGATTCCTTCTGGTGATTATTAACAACATCCAGAAAGAAAAAGAGAGAATAGAAGTGGAAAAAAAAAGCTCACTTTGTTTTCCTAATAGCCGCCGTTTTTCGGTTAACAGCGTGTTTCTCACGATTACCTCGCTTTTTTCGTATCAATTTAAAATAATTATTGTTATATCCTCTTCGGGTTCGAGAAAGCAACGAACTTCGTCTTAAGGAGAGGAAAAAAAAAACGCGTGTACATCAAGAAACACACATTTCAACTTATGACGTTTAAGTGTTATTACCGGAGGTCAACCAAAAAAAAATAAATATAAAGAAAAAGAATGATGATTGTTGTGCGGAAGAAAACACGGTCGATTGATCGATGCCTTAAAGGGCGATAACGAAAAAAAGGGCGAAGAATAAGAGAAGACGTACAAAAAACAAAAGAGAGAGAAAATGCTATATGAGAAGTAGTGAGAAGGAGCGAGAAAAAGGGGGGGTGTAGGTACAAAATGGGTTCGCGTGTCCGGGCTTCTATTGCATGTGTAAAAATACCGTAAAAAGTTTTTTATAATTCCGTGATAGGAATCGAATTTTCTTGCTGCGCCACTAATAAAAAGCGCGAGAGGCGAGTTGAAGGGGTGGTGGTGGTTGAAAGGTGGAAGAGGGTGTCTTGTTTTCCGTCGAAATCTTACGTAATATTCGCCTCATGATTTGCGTTTGCACTAAATTCGTTGTGTTGGACTGACTTATTTATCTGTTCCGAAAAGTAATCTATCGAACCGACGGCGGAAGTGAATCATTCAATTTGGAATTGTTTATAACACGAAAACCGCTTCGGAATTGTGTTTTTCAATGTATGCGTGTGTGTGTGTTTCGTTCGTTGGAAGTTAATGAAATGAATTATTTATTTTTTCGCTGATGATGAGGGGGGGAATTTATTTCGGATGGTTCCTAATTGTTCGCGGTCGAGTTGCGAAGGCCTTGGACGCAATTGACTTACCTTTCTTTGGTATGAGGGACTTGAGGAGCATCACGGCGTGGTCGTCGCATGCCCACGCGTGCATCTTCCTGTAGCTGTCGCGGCCCTTCTCCGTCAGCTTGTCCCACGGCTTCGGCTTGGACAGAAGCTCGGAGACGGTGCCTTGCGACAGTCCGAGGATGTACTTGGCGAACAACCTCTGACCGATGTTGTGGATGGAGAGGAGCTCGCGAACTCGCCGCGAGATGTGCAGCGTGTCCAGATTCTGGCTGGCGTACTTGTCCATGTTGTAGCGGAGCATCTCCTGCAGTTTCGCTTCCATCGGATCACCCTTCGGGATGAGACTCTCGCCCAATCTGCTGACCATCGAACCTGGAGCCATGCCGAGCTCTTCGGCGAAACGGAAGGGCGGTGAACGGTGCTCGTCGAAGCGGTACGGACTCTTCAGATCGTCGCCGCGTAGGAAGTTGTTCACGTTGAGCATCGTCGCTGCGAGCGGGATGTTGTTGTTGCTGACATGGTGGTTGTTGTTGTCTTCCGGGCTCTTCGGGTTACCGTTCAGGATCGGACTCGGTTGGGGCTCTTGCGGCTGCGGCGTCGACGCGGCGCTCTTCTCCGTCGAGTCGGCTGGGGCCAGAGGCGTGGGCGCCTTCACCGGGGGGCCATCTGTTGGCGAGATTATTTGGTTGTTGAAGTGCTCGATACTGCGACGCCAATTGGCGACGATCTCCTCCCCGAGGAGCGACCCGAAGGTCTCGACCGTTTTTAAAGGGAGCGGGACTTGGGAGGAACAAGAAGTAGAAGTAGTAGTAGTAGTAGAAGAAGAAGTACAATTGTTGGTGTTGTCTTTCAGCAGCGGTGCTTCAACACCTGCAACCAAAAAAAAACGGGGAGAAAAGAAAGAAAACCGAAAAATAATTTACAAAAAAAAAAATATAGGATTTTTCTCAAAAATTCGAATGATCTAACAAAACAAATACATTTATAATGAAAACGCGGTGGCCGTTCTTTCTTTTTTTTTTTCGAAAAACAAATACCCAAGCCTTTACGCAACGCACACGAATCTCTAAACATCGCCATTACTACAATAAAACCATTTCACAAACGGATCCAGTTCACATGACGTGTCGCAACCGGCTTTATAAAACAAATAAGAACAATACCATTATATATATATATTTAAATATATATATATACCAGTTCTCTCCGCGCATAAACAATTTACATTACATACCTACAATCTTTCTTTTTACCACTTTTATTGTATCATCTATATAAAATTATTACACAAAGTGTACTTAAGTAAACGCGCGCGAATCTTACGCAATTAAATTAATTAAAAAAGTAAAAACAACAGCAACAAAAAAAAAATAAAACTTGGATTTCGGATTGGATTGATTTTGAAGGATCGTTGAAGGAATATCGAAAGGATAATCATCCTTACCTTCGACTTCAGAAGAAACGCTCTTAGGTCGTTCGAGCAACTGCTGGTGATGTTGATGTGGATGATGGAGCTTCGTGCTGCGATCCAGCAAACTCTCAATGGATTTATCCGGATTGCTCTGGTACTCTGATTTCAATATACTGCACAGAACAAGAAAACATATAACTTATTAAACATTCGAAAAACGAAAACAGATTGTTTTCTAATTGAGCAATTAAATTAGCCTTCTAAAAATCTAACTAAATAATCCTCGAGAAAGAGCAAACAAAATAAACGAATTGTGATAACGTTATTTGTTCGAGAAAAACTGGTTACGCAAACGCACCTGATTTCCCTCTTGAGATCGTCGTAATCGCGCTGCTGGTCCAGTTTGCACTCCAAACGCGAGATGTGCTGCTTCTTCTGCTCCAACTCGTCCTCCAACCGTAAGATTTGCGAACCGTGGTTCTCCTGCAGCTTCGATATATTCGCCTGAAGCCTCTGCACTTCATCCACTAAATGTGAAATCTGTAACAAACAAAAAAAACATTGAGGATGAGCAAAAAAAAAAAGGCTTTCGATCCAAAAAAAAAAGGGAGCCGTTCGAAAAGGCATATGCAGAGAGGCACCCTTCCAGAGCAGATAACGTTTCCTGTTTTGCTTTATGCAAAAAAATAAAAATTAAAAAAAAAAATATGTGGGGCGATTTGAAATATTGGTTTATATTTCCTCTTCCGGGCCTTAAATATGAGTGGATCTTTTTTTTTTCACCATATATATATATAATTATTCTCTTCGTTTTTTTTTTTGCTTCACGTCCCTAATGACAGGGGATGCGAGCGGATTCCGCTGACGCCTTAGAAATAACGGGGGATACGGATAATTAATAAGGGAAAATACATATATTGAACGTGAAATTTAGAAGAGAGAGGACAAAAAATGGTCCCAATTAATTTTAGCGTTGAAGACACACAACCTTACGTTTTGGTCCATGCTGTTTTCAGAGCATTTCAGGCAGGAGATGCTGATGATGCGACGAGATACTGCGCGAATCTATAATAATCTTACACCGGCGTTGATAATTGTGTGAAATAATTTGTGAATAATTAAACATATCTATCTATCTATATATATATATAAATAAATGCGCTGTCGCCATTTGCGTAAACAGAAACGCGTCTCCTCCTCCGCTCATCTCTCTCTCTCTCTCCATTATATGGATGGAGGAGAAGAAAATCAAACAATCACGGCGCGCCGTGTGTTGATCGCAATATGGTTGAACAATATTAATAAATATCTTTAGATAAAATAACGATAAGATTACGAGGTGATAAATTAACGATAAACATGATGGAGAATTGTATGAGTACGAGTATCAAGGAGGCCAAACATTTGCGGACTCGGTTGATGTTGATGATGAGAAGGACGAATGATTATTGCGAGTCAAAGAGAGATAGAGGTAGAAACAAAGACACCTAACTACGAGGCGGAGGGGTTGGTTTGTTCTCTCTTAACGAAACGGCGAATCGATATCTATATATATATATAGATATATATGTGAGTGCGCAAAAATATTTTCCACACCACCCCAACCCTCGAAAATTATCTCATACTTTGCATACGGCTCTCTCTCCTTTTTACCCTTCTCATATTAGCGATTCAACCCCTTCGCTTCGCTCCCTCGCATATATACTTAATATCAATACATCACGGCCAACGCAGCACACATAAAAAGAGAGAAACAGAAAGTGCTGCTGCTGATGATCAACGGAAAAATCACAATGATCCTAATGGGAAATCACAAGATCAAGTTTCGCATTTCCCAAATCGAATCATTCTTGTAACGTTTTCTTTCTGCGTGTTAATTTTGTGATGACTCAAAAAAGTATATTAGAATCGAAAGCTAATAATAAAGATGATACAATTATTGAAATTTGACTTAAGTTTGAAAGTTATTGATGATGTGAAAAATCTGTATAATCGAATTAGGAAATGTCGCAAATAAAAAAAAAGTTACTGAAATATTGGTGAAACAAAAGCTTTTATTCAGGCGCGGCCGCCGATGATCGAATTATGCTATTAATAATATTAATTGAATCAGCAGCGCACATCTATCTATATTATATGTTGGAGTGTACAAATCTGCTCTATGTGTGTTTGTGTGTCTATATAATAAACTTAGCGGCGGCGGCGCTGAGACATTTTAAATCAAATTTCCAATAATGCGAAAGCCGATATTGCGCGATACATATATATGTGTGTGTGTGAATGTATATATATATATATATATATTCACAATGCCGATGCGATTTTAATCGGAATGTGAGCGGCCGCAAAAGCTTCGGAACGGCGCCCAGTCACCGTCTAAGCTGACGCCGCGACGCCGCCGCCGCTGCCCCCCCACCGCCGCTCGACTTCTCTTCGAATGAAACGGCGGGGTGCAGAGGGTTTTGCGGAGCTCTCACTCACTCTCGCTATCCTTTTATATCCGTATCTTTGTCTCTCTTTCTCTCTAATGCACGCAAAAGCCCCGATGATATTTGTATTTGTATATATTTCCTCGAGGTATTGACGAGTTCGTTTTGTCTTAGAACAACCGAACACCCCCTCGCAGCCGCCGTCCCTTCACCCCTTTCATCCCCCTTTACACACACATATATATATACAGAGAGTGAGTGAGCTGCCGCCACCGACAACCCTTTCAAACTCGCTTCCCGCACTCGCACACACACACAGCTTCCAATTTACCAATTACAATCAAATTTGCAAATCCTCAGACTCAATACTCTCTCAATACGTAATCTTCCGAACAACATCTTCCAGCGGTAAGTAAGCATGCATGCATACACGCGAATTCGATATGCAGCATAGAAAATCTATAGCTTAGTTCACAAACGAATAAACTGGACAAGTTCAAAAACTTGTTTGTCAAGAATGTTTGTCAATTTAAAAGATTTAGAAAGAAGCAACTTTTCGCTCTCTCGTTGTTTTGTAAACAGCTTTGGGAAAAAAATTTGACTCTGATGGTTTGGATGTTTGTAAAATAAAGAGATTTCAGTTTTTTTTTTTTTCAAGAACGAAATCATTGTTTACCAAACATTTGAAAGAAGAAGAAAAAAAATTATATAATTTTTCGTAACAAATTATAGACTTAAATTGCAGAAGTTGAAATCTGGACGTGTTCCAAAGCATTCACGATTATCATGAATGAAGAACTGAAATCTGGAGGTGCGATAAAATTCGACGAGATGCGAGCGTTACGTAAATCGCATTAATGACCTTAATTCGGAATCGCCTAATCTTAAAACCGAGATAAAGTGTACGAAAAAAAAAAATGAAATGAAGAGAGAAGGAGCAGAAATTCGTGCGCAAATAAAAGATTTCTCATCGAGAATTCCCGCAGATAACGATTATGTATAATTATTAATATTTTCATAAAAAAAAAAAATTATGAATGTCATTATTTATTTTAATTAAATTTCGATGTGTATTGTTCGTGTTGCTAAGCCGGTGTTATCAATTGCGCAATTGCTTCCAGAATCTTCGGATTAGGTGAATTTAGTTTTTATTTTTATTTTTAAAATTGAGTTTGTTGTTTGTGTGTTTCTCTGTTTGCTTTTCGTGAAAGGGTTGAGTTTTGGATGGGAGTTGAGTCTTGTCTCGTGACTCCGAGAATGGGGTAATCGAGTAGGTAAATTGTAAACATTAACCGGAAGGCGAATCACGTATTTCAGGTGGCTAAGTAAGAGAGATTCCCTATAGTAATTCGAGATTTAGTAGTGAACTTTGGATTGAGTATGCGAGATGGAGCAATTATGCGTGCAATGGCAGCCATTTTGATTCAATCTATTGAGATGACACTCGGGGGATTTTCCTTGCACGGATCTTAATTTGTTTTAAGACGAATACACACTCACACTCACACACATCGAGTTGACTTGGTGGAGTTCGAAGAGGATGGGAGAGAGAAGACCCGAGGGGTTAAGGCCCTTTTTACATGTACAATTAAATCGCGTTCCGAGCGGAATGGCAAATAATTTAAGAATAAATAACGTGCACATATATATATATATATGTGTAGCAAATGGAAATTGAATAATTCAGGGAAATAATATTTCTTTTATCGGATCGCAGCCGGCCGTGACGGGTTATTATTATAATGACGGAAAGAAGAGGAGGAAACAGAGAAGAAGGACAGAGGTCGTGGGAGGAAGCGTGACGAAGAACTGAATATTCACAAAAAAAAATAAAAATCATATTTTTTTTGTTTCTAAATTCGTGTTACGTATTGAATCGCATCACTTTTTCTTCTTCTGCTGCTGCTGCATTGTTTCTCGCGGCGATTTTTTCGAGTGTTTAAAAAGCTCGCAGTCCGTGCATATACATTATCTTAAAACGCGAAAGCATATAGAGGGTTGGTGGAGGCGGCGGTGGTTTTCAGGCAGGGGGCGGTTGGTGGAAGCGGAGGGTTCGACGACGATGGGGGGGGGGGGGGTTGGTGGCTGAGGCGGCGGGGGTTTTGAGCGCCCGGTTCGGCTACGGAGGGACGTAAATGTGCAAATGAATAATCTGTGTACGTGCATGTGCCCGAGCGAGACCGAGGATGATTAATAAGCGCACGAAAGACAGAGACGATATGTAAATCAATCGATATTGCTCAGACTTAGTAGTATCACTCTAATTGTCAGTTCTGATGAGTAGGAAAGGGGTGGATATTTCGAGGGATGAAACCGAAATGTATAGATGGGATATATGTACTATATACATACATATATATATATCACATCTCTCGTTCGCTTCTGTACATAAACACGCACCGGAGTGGATTATATTTCTGAAAATTTACATTTCGCCAAATATTAAAACAGAGCAATGCACTTGAAGCACATACACACTCACAGCTAATTCGCTTTTCAATTCTTCCTCTTCTCTTTTTTTTCCCCCATTTCACATTTCCCTCATTTAGCTTTTATCCTGTCCACTCGTCCAGTTGTTTTATTTCATTTCCTTAACTCACCCAAAATCCATCATTTTCAAAACAATTCAATTCTTAATTAAAATCGATAACTTTTCAAAATTAAATACACATTTACTGATAATTATATTTATATAGATTGCAAATTCGACCTCGTTTTTAAGAATCGTAATCAATCTATTTCAGATAATTCGAAAGAAATGTATTTGCAAAATTTGTTGAAACTTTTCAATTCAAGACTTTTACTTTCAAGAAAATTGAAAAATGGATTGATAATTTGTTGGAAATTAAATTTATGAATGGATTTTTTTCGCGAATGTAATTTGGCTAAGTTTTTCTCTATGTGTTAGAAGAGGGTTGGTGTGTGTGTGTGTGTGTGTGCGCGCGGAGCGAAGGTTTTTATCGATTGCTACTAATTTAAATATTACATCTCGCATTTTACCCCAATCAGTCAGAGCCTCCCCCAAAGGAAAAGGGGTGAGAGAAGCATATAGCTTAATCACCTACCACCGCCCCCCGCGCCTCAATCCTACGTCTCGCAAAGAGCCCATCTCCAACACACACACGTCTCCCCCACTAAGAGAGAGAGAGAAACAACCCGAACACGTATATATATAGATATAGTACACATACATCTAAGCTCCCAATAATCAATAATTATACTCAAATATAAAGAGAAAAGAGACGAATGCTGATTTGCAAGGCGTACTCTAATGAGAGCGACACGAGGGGGGACGTAGCAAAGGTTTCAGTGCTCTCTCGATCATCTTTCGCGAATTAATTACTATCAATTCCGAGAAGGGCGACTTCTCTCTTCTCTCATTCTTTTTTTTTCTTGCTGTTGTTATTTTTATTATTATTTCCTTCATTCCCATACGTGCATGTCAGGTGGCTCGTTTGCAGTGACTGATTGTCCATGTTCCCATCACGGACGGTTGCGCATGGCCGAACCCCCATTAAAAAAAAAAATATATAATAAATAACACAAAAAAAAGCAACCTCTTCCAAACCAGAATACACATGCTAAAACCGATTCAATTTAAAGAATAAATCATTCGAATTAAAAACGCAACGAGGGGAGAAAAGATAAGAAACGAATTAAAAGATTAATAAAAAATATAAGATTTATTGCAAATATATATATTTAAGGGATGGTTAACTCACCCGGTTTTTTAGTATTGAAATCGCGTTGCGAAGCGCACGTGAAGAAGTCGCACCAACTACTAATACTAGTTTTTTTGTCACCCGAAGTATATTTTTTTTTCTGGTCAGCACTCTTCGATATTATCAAAATCGAAATGTGTATAATGAGTATTAGATATCGATAACCTCTTTACCGATCGTCCCGTTCGTCTCCAATCACGAGATAAAGACGGACCTTTCCGAGTCATACGAGAAAAATAAAATTATAAATATAAAAAAATTTAAATTTTTTTTTCGCTCTCTTTCATTTCTTTCGATAATTAATTTTAGAAGAAGACACGCTTCGCATTCTATCCAATAATGCTGCTGCTGCTACACAACACACGGTTTTTGTTCTATTTCGGTGAGCACCTATAAATACCGGAGAGGAGAAGGTGAGTCGTCGATACGTGCGACTATTTTTTTGCTTCTTCCTCGTTTGTGTTTTCCTTAAATTTTTCGTTAATTTCAGGATTTCTCTGTAAAAGGACGATCGAAAGAAAAAAAAACAGGCGAGACGATCTCTCGTCGCTCTTATAAAGTGTATACACGAAATCCTAATCTAAAGGACAAAGAGTCAAAGATAAAAAAAAAAGTATGCGGATATCAATAATTATTTATTAGTTTCTACACAAAGTCTTAGATAATCGCACTGACGCAAATCAAAATTTTTTGTTGTTATTTTTTTATTATCGCGCGATTTTTTTTTATATGTATATATAATTTTTTGTGTTGGTACGATTTAATCGGATGGTTGGAAGAGCAGAAGCGAAGGGTTTAATAAATAATGAAGGTTCGTTGCAAAGGGAAAGACAATGCGTTTATCTTAAATAGATAAAGCGAGATGGATGTGTGTGATCGTTGATGCTGTGGGTGGAAAAAGGAGGGTTGCAAAAATCCATATTCATTAATGCAGCGCCACCGCCGTTTCCTCCAACCCCTCCAGGGACTTGTCTCTCGAGACAAAGAGAGAACGCGATGCTCGTAACAGAGATGTTTTTTTTTTCTCTTCTCTCTATCTCCTAGTTACGCAATTCGCTTAACAACGAATTTAAGTGAAGCAAAAAACAACAAAGAAACGAAACAAAACAACAACAAAAAAAAACAGCGCACCGACAACAATTGACAGCCGATAAGAGGCGGCCCATAGCCGGTCGGGCGATAAGTTGCGCGTTTCCGTTTCCGTTTTTCGGAATTCTTCAACGAATCGAAGCTCCGCTGATTACGCGCTCTTATCTAAGTTCATTGGCACATTTATTGATTACGGGCACTTGACACACACACGAAGTTCTGGTAATGTGTAATTATTTACATTAATTTCTTTCAATTTGGAATCTACACAATTTTTTTTTTCTAAATAAACAAAAGCAGAGAGAGCATCTAGTAATCCGCGAAATGATCGGGGGTGAGAGAGGGCTCGTTTCTAATCGGTTTACGTGTCGCGTAATCCCGCTTAAAGAAGAAGAAAAAAAACTGGGGAAAAAACAAGCTTCGGGTGTAATTAACGCGAGACGAAAATTTCCTTCAGCTGCGGCTGTTCCCATGTTTTAATTATGTACTGTCGAAATCGGAAGAGGGAATTTTGATCATCTTCGCGAAATTTGTCTTAAATTTATTGTAATTTGTTTCAGTAACAACGAAAATTATTATTTTTTTTTCGTAAGAAATTCAAGAAATGTTTACCCTTTTTTCGTTGGCGGCGATTTCGGATTCGAAACCGTGCCTATCCATGTTTCCCTCTTTGGATTCGGGATTGGGGGTGGCGCACGTGGCCAGCTGCTCCTTCAGCGTGGACACCTCTTTCTCGGCCAACGTCGCCCTCTGCAAAAGGAAACAAAAAAATATAAACAAAAGAAGTCAATCATCAAACGAGGGGGAGTTTAAAATTTCTAAAATAATAAATAATAATGCCCGGAAGCGAGTCAATATTGGCTTCAGATCTGAACCGCAGATATATGTCCAATATGCAAAGTAGGCTCGGGGTGTGATGAACATCGTGATAAATATGAATTCAAGGGGGGTGGGTTTTTGAAGAGAGAGAGAGAGAGAGGTTGCAAATATCGCCCCTATTTTCGAAGACAAAAGCGCGCGACATCCTTACCGGCATATATATATAAATTCGCTTTTTTTTTTTTTTTTGATCAGAATTTATAGGCCATGCGTCATGTCATAAATCCACTTAGATATTATTTTTGAATACACCCCCCTTCGGTATTATGTTATATGTGTTTTGTTTTTTTTTTGTTTCATTCGCGGAGGGGATGAAAGTCTGGAAGCGCCGCGATCGGCCCGAACCCGAACTACATTCAACGTACACACGCGTACTATATAGTGTGCACACTCGTATATAGTACGTTTATTCCATTACGGGGACTTTCCTTTAACATTAAACCGAATTATGCCATTGTCTCTTTCGCTTAATTTTACGTACGAAAGAGGGATGAAGAGTAGAGAGTAGTGGAGGAGGGTTCGGTAAAAGCGCGCACGGCATCTGACTGAAGTAATTCTATCTGTTAATTTTATTAATCCTCAAACTACGGAGACTCGCGCCACTCTCTCTCTCACAACGTTCTTCATTTATATAATTTTTTTGTTTTCAGGATTTACAAAGATTAAGTTTCGCGCGCGTTTAAAAAAAAAACTTTATATAATTACGATCAATCGAAAACTGTACTGGAAATATCTCTACGTCTACATATATATATATACACAATATCCGCATCCGTTTTTGAATCATAGCAGAAACGACGTTTTCTTATCGATCCGCCCCTCTCGTGTTTCGGAAACTTCGGCCGTATCTCGCTCACTTTCCGTCACTCATTATATCCAGAACTTGTTAATCAATTACCCCCAGCTCCCATCAATTATTCCCTTCCTCTTCGCAGAAATTCGATTCATTCCGCGGATTTATAATGTTACACAATAATGTTACTAGAAAAATTTATCAAAAAAAAAATTTATATATACGAAGAAGAGAGGCTTTAATTAAAAGGGGAAGAGCAAAGCAAACAGCCTCGAAAAGTCCGCTTAATTAAGGTGCGCGAAACTTTTGATCCGAATCCGAAAAGTAAAAAAAAAGGGGGGAAACCCATATAATTAAGTCCGAGTTGTTTTCTTGCTACAATCGATGATGAATGCATTAGCCGTAACGAAAACGTAGAAATCTTAAAAAGTACTTTTCTTTCAATTCATTTGGAAAAATAAAAATTATATAAAATGCGCAGTGCTAACTTTGTTGATGATAGAGAGAAAGCTGCAATCTTTGATGTAAGTCGATACGAATTGCGCGACAATCAATCCTCGTTATCTTTAAATTATTATTATTATAATTATATATTATTTTTTTTCTCTCAGTTTTGTTTTCTTTCGAACTCTGGGAACGGAAATTTGCTGGATCGCCTCTTTGCGCGCTCCGTAGATTAGAAGGAAGAAAGGAAGAAAAAAAAAATCTTCTGGTTACAATATCTGCCGACTGCAACGGAACGTAATCTCCACCCGAGTCGAAGCCTTCGCAGCATCACATCCCGTCTTTCTCTCTTTCACTCTCTCATTTTTCTTGTGTGTGTGACTGTTTGTGTTGTTTCTGGATGCGTGCGTGTTGCGCACAAAAACGAAATGATGTAAAAATATTTTTAAAACTGGACCCAGGCGGAGATCCACCGAACGGGGGCCGTAAACGTTTCAATGCCGAAGCCTTAATAAATACCAGATGCTCCTTCGAAAATCAATGTCTTTATAGGGAATTTGGACCTTAATAGCCGGAGCTATTTAAAGAGACCCCAGACGCATATTACACAAGCTCACTTCTTCCTTTTTTTTTGCTTTTTTTTGCTTTTTAGCTTTCAGTTAAAAAAACGAAGAAAAAAATTTAGAGAGACACGGCTTCATATATATATACGTGTGTGTGTGTATATGTATATATATAGTCTGAAACACAAACCATGTGTAGCGAGTGTGTGACTTGTTGCTTGTGGAGGAATAAAATCAATCTATATAGAGCGAGTGTGTGTGTGTGTGTGTGGCGCGGCATTGAATAAATAAACAGAGAAATTCCCACGAGTATCGCTCGTTTTATGTATTATTTATTTATTTTAACTACTCCGTCTCGCTCTCGCATATAACATAAACTCGCATTAAAAAAGAAAAGAAAAAAACGTTGCGTTTACATAATAATCAAAGGCTGTTTCGTTTTTGTTTTGGGACAATAAATTCGGGTAGTGGGGGTTGGTTGTAGCAGAAGAAAAGAAAACTCAGATACCGACATCCCTTGGCCATCTAATCGTTCACACTTCCTCTTCCGCTCGAAACGAAATCGAGTATATTTGCTTATTTATTTATATATATTTATTTTCGTTTATTTCCTTCATTATTATTTGTGTTTTGTGCGGAAAGACAAAACCGAAAATGTACAATAAAGCGAACAATGTACTTGTACACGTATATGTGTGTGTTTATATAGATTGAATGACCCCTATGCAAATTAAAGCCTCATTGAAAATCAAACTGTCAGCGGCGAACAATACACGCTCGACTCACTCCCACGCGCGAGCTCTGTTCACTTTTTTTTTTCATTATTATTTCGTTTCGGGTTTTTGTTTTAAGATCTCTGACAAAACGAGAAAGAGAATGGGTGTTTTTTTTTNNCGAGGGGGGTGAAGAAATAGGAGGAAGTAGGATGTTGGCGGTTTCCGGTACCGAAAAAATTTCATTTGAATTTCAGAAAAAAAAAATTGCTCATTTTACATTTTATCAAAACAATAATTTATAATAATTATGTAACATTTGACAACAACTTTGTTAAACAACTGTGTATTATTGATTAGTGTACTAAAATAAACACGTATTTGATGAATATTTAACGTTAAAATATGTTTTCATGAATTGAAATGTTGTAATTATAAATATAAAATTTGACGCGATTTTAATATGTTTAAATGTACTGAAAACTACTGTGTATTATTGATTAGTGTACTGAAATAAACACGTATTTGATCAATATTTAACGTTAAAATATGTTTAGATGAATTGAAATGTTGTAATTATAAATATAAATTTATTTTGTTGAAAATAATTGTGATGGATTTTGCGAGCAATTAAGAATTAGGATTAAATATTGTTTTTCGATGGGAATGGAATGCATAAAGGAAAGAAATATGAAAAGGGGGCGGTGGATGCGGGTGGGAGGCGCGACGGTGGGGTTGTCGGAAGTGGGTAGGAAGAAGGTGCTGGGTGTGAGTCGGTCAGAAAAAAAAATTGCTCATTTTACACTTATCAAAACAATAATTTATAATAATTATGTAACATTTGACAACAACTTTGTTAAATTATTGATTAGTGTACTAAAATAAACACGTATTTGATCAATATTTATAGTTAAAATATGTTTTCATGAATTGAACTGTTGTAATTATAAATTTATTTTGTTGAAAATAATTGTGATGGATTTTGCGAGCAATTAAAAATTAGGATTAAATATTGTTTTTCGATGGGAATGGAATGAATGAAGGAAAGAAAATATGAAAAAGGGGGCGGTGGATGCGGGTGGGAGGCGCGACGGTGGGGTTGTCGGAAATGGGTAGGAAGAAGGTGCTGGGTGTGAGTCGGTCAGCGCGCGGCTCGCGACAAGCAGAAAACTATAATAAAATCGAGTGGTGGGGAATTATAAAAGGGTTATCGAAGTGGGTGTTGCCGATAGAGCGGTTAGGACACTCCTTCAGCTCCTCCCGCTCCTGATATCAGATAGATGCGTCCAACAGCCTCCCAACTTTTACGGCCCGTCACGCAGCGCTCGCCTCATTCTCTCTCTCTCACACTCACTCACATTCGATCTCTCCTTTTTTTTTCCACGTATATTTATCTCTCGCTCTCGCTCATTCCTCTTTTATTCGATTCGGGCTTCGCTCCTTCGATCCTCCTCCTCCGCCCCCCCGCGCTCACTCCACCTCGACCCACCTTCTCTTTTATTATACTTTTTTTTTTGCGTCGCCGCCGTCGATTTTCGCGGAATCAATCGAACGCCCAACCCCCACCAAAAAACAAATCAAAACAATTTTTATTTTCTTTCTTCGAATGTTATTCTGACTTGCGTTTGTTTTTACAGGAGACGCGCCGCGCCCATCGTAGAAGGTGGTGGAAACAATACACTCGATCAACCCACGTCCGGATCGGAACAACCCCATATGACGTAGACCCGAATTCACGGAGCTACCACACACAAACACCTACACCCAACCATGGTATTAATAACAACTCAGACGACAATGGGTCCACGAAGACACAATGCATCGAGTGGGCGAAATCTCTCACCCAAAAACATACAAACGAGAGAAGACAAAAAAACATATCCTTCTTTTTATTATTCAATATATTATTTTTTTTTTGAGTTGGGGGTGGTTGCGAGGTGACGCAATTTCGCACCCCCTCTGATATAAAACCATAAAACAGTGTCTGAGTTCGGAATTAAAAATCAAAATATATTACCCCAGGAGCGGCTTATTAAAGCAGCCGCCACCACCGTGTAATACGCCCAAACCCCAAAGAATACAGCCGCCGCCCATAACTCATCGCTCACCAAAAACTGAAAGCATTCCCATCCCCCATAAAATTTCCCTCTTTTCATTCAATCAGCAACCTTATTAACATAAAGAAAATGTTAACAACAACAACAAAAAAAAATTACTTCGACATTCTCGAATTCAATTACTACACAACTCGAGCTGTCTTCATTAGTGGTTTTAACCTTCTTCCATTAAAAAAAAAAAACTAAAATAATTCAATTTTTTTTTCTTGAATTATTCACAAACTCACTTTATATTAATTAA